TTAGGTTTTTGGACCTGGAGAATACATCCAGAAAGGAGCAGTAAAAGAGAGAAGGAGAGAGAGAGAGAGAGAGAGAGAGAGAGAGAGAGAGAGAGAGAGAAATATGCCTGCTTTTTAGATGGCAGTCAAGTTTAAATGCTGGCGGGCATTCAGCCTCCAAAATCATACAAGAGACAGAAAAGGGACAGAATCCATGGCTACTCACCATTCAACCTGAAGAGGATTGACTGACTTACAGAGAAATTCCCAGCCAACACACCAATTTGATACAGAATTTTTGGACTGGAACCTGGATTCTTTGTCCACCAGAGTTGAAGAATAAAACCATGGACAGAAGGTGGTATAGCAAAGGTGGAAATTTATTAAAGAACAAGTACAGACTCCCATGTGGGGGAGGGGAAAAGAGTCCCATTGAGTTCCTTTTCCCTTTGGCTTATAAAGGCTGCAGATCTTGGTGCCTTGATATCCCCTCTGATTTGTCACTATTCCCTTGGACTGGTTACTATGGTAACTCCTGGGCTCAAAGGTTGAGCCTCACATGGGACATATGAGGTTCTCTCCCCTCCTTCCTTATTGTTTTCCTATTCCCTTTGGGCTTTCTTCTCCTTCTGGATGAAGAGCTTCCTTCTCTTTATTTTGTAAATATAGACCTTTGCTGTTCCCAGCTCCCACATTCTATGGAAATGTACCCGTTGCAGCTTTTCAGCTTCCCTATTCTATGGAAATATACCTTCTGCTGCTCTTTGGCATTGTGTTTCTTCTATGGTCCCCTTAATTTCTAAAATTTCTAAACCTGTCTTTTTCACCCCCCAAAATTTGTGGACGAAAGGGGACACATCCTAACCTGACAAGCTCAGGGAAGGCCTGTTTGGTGGTCTTGCAAACTCAGAGACCTAAAGTAACCACAAAGGATGGTCTGAAATTAAACTTTAAATAAAAGCAGTTATGTTGGGTAGTTACATCGTAGGCCAGTATCTTCACTGACAAGGTCAACCTTTACCTTAACTGAGCCTATTGTCGTTTTGCATCTAAGATTTTTTTTTTCAGATAAATAATATGTGGTTTATTCATGCAGTAGAATACTATACAGCCATGAGAATGAACCATGAACAAATACATGCAATAAGTCTCACAATGTTAATGAGCCAAATACAAAATAAATACTATTTGATTCTATTTGTGTAATTTCTCAAACCAGACAAAACTAATCTATGCTCTTAGAAATTAAGATAGTGGTTCCCGTGGGGAGGTAGTAACTGGAGAGGAGCAGGAGGGGCTTCCAGGGGACTGGTAATGTTATGCCCAGATTTCAAGATCCCCAAAGACAGACCACTAGGGAACCAAGTCCGATGCAAAAGCAAAGAGCCTTTATTCAAGCCCGGGCTCGGTCCCTCCACTCCACCGACACAGCAGCAGCATGTGAAGAGAGACAAGCCCCCAGAGAACAAAGATTTTATAGGGCTAGTCATTTGGGTGGGCTTAGGTGGGTGACGTGGGTGACAGTGACTGGTCAGTTTCAGGTCAGGGTTTTATTCCAGGGTTTTTCAGCAGGGTCTTACAGCAGGGACTTACAGCACAAAGGGCAGGAAATGACTAACGCATTCCTGGGCCTGAGCCATACCCCGCTACCTCCTGATTGGTCAAGGGTGGCGCACAAGGAGCATCCTATGGTATAGCCTAATTTGGACCTTAGCTGCATTTTTGGGACTTCATTGGCCCACTCGGGTGGTGGTTGGGGAGTCGGGACATTTCTAGCATTCCTGTGGTTACTCCCGGTAGGGCGGTCAGGTTGGGGACCCAGCTTTACAAGATGGAGGATAGTCAGTCCCGCTTTGTCCTTTCATTCCCCCCTTGTCTTGGAACTCACGGTTCAATCATGAGACGGACTGCATTTCCATCTCACCTTCCATAGCTAAAGGCCTGTATTGGGCTTGCAAAACCATCAACTGAACCACCCCTATGTGCTCTTTGACAAATTGGACTAGTCTGTTAATAATGCAAGGGCCGAAAGTCAACAGCATTAGTAGGATTACAAGGGGTCTGGCGAGGGTGGAAATAAGAGTAGTTAACCACAGGGACCAGTTAAACAAAGATTCATACCAAGACTGAGATTGCTCCCTCTCTAGCTTTCGCTTTTGCAGTCCTTCTCTTACAAGAGCCATAGATTCTTTCACAACTCCGGAGTGGTCAACATAAAAACAGCACTCCTCCCCTAGGGCTGCACATAGGCCTCCTTGCTGCATGAATAGCAAGTCCAATCCCCTTCTGTTCTGGAGTACTACTTCAGACAGGGAAGTAAGGAATTCTTGCAGATGGGTAATGGATTTTTCAATTCTTTCTATGTCTAGGTCAATGGCTGCTCTCAAGGTTTCATAGTTCTTGCCTTGTATGACAAGCGAGGATATTCCGGTTTCTGCCCCTGCTAGTCCTAACCCCAGGAGCGCAGCTAGAGTTAGGACTGTAACAGGCTCTCTCTTACTCCGGGGGTTAGCAGAACCTAACCAGCTAAATATTTTCTCCCCCGAATGGTATACTAGCTTAGGGATTAACTGGACAAGTATGCAAAAGTCTTCTTTCGAGGAGTTGAGGACTTGGGAATGGACGCAGGGGGCGAGACCGCTGGAACAAGCCCACCATGCATTTTCGGGGGGAAGCAGGTAAACTGCCCCACCAGGGACTGATAAAGTGTAGTTGCAAAGATGTGATTGTTCGGGGGGGCACTCGGCCTATGCAAGTACCTTGCCCTATTACTGCCCGGAGAGTCAGTTTTGCAGTGGCCTGCTGCCACCTACAGGAGCTGGAATCGGGGGCCATGGTATAATTGCCCTTAATAGCAATACCCTCGTAATATGGTGGCTGGACGTCCAGACAGAGCCAGCAGGATTTGGTCAGGTCGGGCCTAGAAGCATTCAAAACATGGTATGCTCCTATAACCATGCTCCACAGAGGGTCCACATCAGATGGTAAGGCAGGACCCGGGGTAGAAGATATGAGTGGCGCCCCGGTATGGTCCAGGGATGCAGAGAGCTGTGAGGCCGGGGCTCGAGTGCTTTTGGGCGTGGACACCTGGGTAGGGACAGGTCGGGGCACTAGTATTTGGTTAGGTCCTACTCCTGTGGGAGCCTGCTGGGAGAGGGGTGCTACCTGTACCCGAAGGGTGAACAGCATTCCCGGGTCTTGGGCCCTAAGCCTTACTTTGTCATATAGTCTAATTCCCCAGGTTTTTCCAGTCTCCCATCCCATTGCTTTCTTCCCCTGTTCTGTGAAAGATATACCCACAGGGTTACAGGGATCCTTCCGGCTGCAAGGTGGGGCAGCCAGCCGCTTTACGGTGATTAGGTCACCGGTTCTTGGGGGAGTCCACCAGGTGTGCCCAGTCGAGACACATGACCAGGAGGTGCAGAAGTAGTCTACCACGCTCCCACATGAGTTTTGTGTGCAAGTCAGGGTCCACGTCCGCGAGTGCCCAGGGCAAATATAAAAATGAAGGTTCCGCCACCTGATGTCTATTCCATGGAGTCTTCCGGTGAAAAGGGTCTGGAGGTCTACTCGGAGCTCTGGGAACCATGCATCCTTGGGATGAAGTTGGGAAGTCTGATTAAGTACTGTCCCCGAGCTGGTGTCTATGATCTGCCAGGTAAGATCGTAAGGGGTGTGAGGACTCTCGGCAGCATGGGCGACAGCGAACAGAGTCAACAGAGTTACCAACATTAGGCGGGTCGAATGCGCCGTAGTTTGAGCTTGAGCGGGTTGTGCTGATTGGGATCGAGGCTCAATTGTTTGATGAGGTCCTCCCGGACTGCAGAGGGATCAGCTGGGCGGATGTGGGTATGATGAACCCAGGTAGCGACACCGTCTACCTTGAGAGCGGTGGGTGTAGTCAGCACTGTGACGTAGGGGCCCTTCCAACGTGTCTCAAGGGTCTCCCGGCAGTGCCTCTTGACGAACACCCAGTCTTCCGGTCTGTACTAAGGAGGCGTCGGGGTTGGGCCAGCCTCGTAGATGGCATGGAGGCGTGGCCAAATGTCCTCGTGCGCCCTCTGGAGCCCTCTTAAGAGAAAAGATATTTCTTGATTTTCAAATTCAGCAAGAAGTTCAGCTTTAAGGTTAGTAATGATAGGGGGTGGCCTGTCAAACATGATCTCGTAGGGAGTAAAACCCAGGGTGTAAGGGGAGTTCCTCATCTGGTAAAGGGCATACGGAAGGAGAGTCACCCAGTCCCCGCCAGTCTCCATGGTTAATTTGGTAAGGGTCTCTTTTAGAGTTCTATTCATTCTTTCTACCTGCCCTGAACTTTGGGGCCTATAAGCACAATGCAATTTCCAATCTGCCCCTATAGCCTTGGCTTTTGCCTCTGTTACCTGTGAAATAAAAGCTGGTCCGTTGTCTGACCCTATCATAGCAGGAAATCCATACCTGGGTAGGATGTCTTCTAGCAGTTTCTTGGCTACCGTCTGAGCTGTTTCATGCTTGGTTGGGTATGCCTCTACCCGTCCGGAAAAGGTGTCTACAAATACTAAAAGATATTTGTAACCATACTTCCCTGGCTTGATCTCAGTGAAGTCTATCTCCCATTGAGCCCCCAGCTTGGTTCCTCTGAGCCTGGTTCCTTTTTCACTCGACCCGGCCCTTGTGTTCGTGAGTTGGCAGGTCTTATACAATTTGATTTATTTTGGAGTCTTGTTGATGAATCTTGATTCCGGCATGCTGGATTAAGTCCTTTAATTTCCGGGTCCCCAGGTGGGTGGACCAGTGCATGGGTCCTAACACTGAGACTCCGAGCCGGTCCGGCAATATGAGCTCCTTGTCCGGTGTATACCACCATCCCTTTATCTCCTGGGCTAGGGGAAGTTTCCTGATCCGCTGCAACTCCTCCTGGTAGTATCTGGGCTGGGCTGGTAAAACTGGGTCCTCTGGGTCCAGTAGTTGTAGGGCCATGGTGGGGACCGAAGTAAGGGCCGCTGCCTTGGCTGCCTGGTCAGCCTTCTAGTTACCTCTTGCTACCGGGTCGTCTGTCTTCTGGTCCCTTGGCAGTGGATAATGGCTAACTTGGCAGGAAGCCATAAGGCTGTAAGCAGTTTGAGTATCTCCTGCTTATTCTTTATAGTCCACCCTTCTGCCGTCAGTAACCCCCTCTCCTGATAGATTGCCCCATGAACATGAGCTGTGGCAAACGCATAACGACTATCTGTGTAGATGTACAGCTGTTTTCCAGCTCCCAGGGTCAGCGCCTTAGTGAGGGCGACAAGCTCTGCTTGCTGGGCTGACGTCCCGGAGGGTAGAGCCTCTGCCCATACAGTGTCCGTTTCAGTGGCCACTGCTGCCCCCGCATACCTGTGCCCATCCCGTATGAAGCTGCTCCCATCCGTGAACCAAGTGGCCTCAGCATCTGGGAGGGGCCGGTTGGTCAGGTCCTTTCGGAATCCATGTAGTTGCTCTAGGATTCCCACACAGTCATGTAGTGGGGCATCTAAGTTGGGGTCAGGCAGCAAAGTATCGGGGTTAAGGGCCCCATTAGGGTGGAATCGCACTCTAGGAGGGTTGAGTAGGAGGCTCTGATAGTGGGTCATACGTGCATTGTTCATCCATCTGTCAGGAGGCTGTTTTAGGACTCCCTCAATGGCATGCGGGGTTGTGATCCAGATTTCCTGCCCCAGGGTCAGTTTGTCAGCATCCTTGACTAAGAGCGCGGTTGCCACAATAATTCTTAGGCATGGCGGACAGCCGGCAGCTACTGCATCCAGCTTCTTAGACAAGTACGCTACTGGACAGCTTCAGGGGCCTAAGGCTTGAGTTAAAACCCCCTTCACTATTCCCTTGCGTTCGTCTACAAAGAGGCGGAAGGGCTTTGTAATGTCTGGCAGGCCCAGGGCTGGAGCAGCAAAAAGGGCTTTCTTTATCTGGTTAAAGGCAGTCTCTTCTTCCTCAGTCCATCCAAACGCCCTCCCCTCCTTGGTAGCTTCATATAGGGGCCTGGTGATCTCAGCAAAACTCGGTATCCAGAGGCGGCAGTAGCCGGCTGATCCTAGGAATTCCCTTACTTCCCTTCGGGAGGTGGGGGTAGGGATTTTCAGGACAGTCTCTTTTCTGGCATCTGACAACCGCTGCTGTCTGCCCTCTAGGATGTATCCCAGGTAACTTACCCTCTATGCATATCTGAGCCTTCTTCACAGATGCCCGGTACCCTAAGGTCCCCAAGGTACCCTAAGGTGGCCAGCAGATTCCAGGTCCCCTGCTCACAGTCCTCGGCCGTGTCGGCAGCAATCAGGATGTCATCTACGTACTGGAGGACAGTGAGGCCGGGTGCTCCCTCCTGTACTCACCCAGGTCCTCGTGTAGTGCCTCGTTGAAGATGGTGGGTGAATTCTTGAACCCCTGGGGCAATCGTGTCCAGGTTAATTGTCCACTGTAGCCCTCATCCGGGTCGTGCCATTCGAAGCCAATAAGGGTTGGCTTTGAGGCGCCAACAGCAGATTGAAGAAGGCATCCTTTAAGTCCAATACTGTGTACCAGACTCTAGAGCAGCCGTGGGCAAACTACAGCCCGCGGGCCAGGTCTGGCCCATTTGAAATGAATAAAACTATTGAAAAAGAGACCATACTCTTTTATGTAATGATGTTTACTTTGAATTTATATTAGTTCACACAAACAATCCATCCATGCTTTTGTTCTGGCCCTCCAGTCCAGTTTAAGAACCCATTGTGGCCCTCGAGTCATAAAGTTTGCCCACCCCTGCTCTAGAGGGTGCCAAAGAGCTTAAGAGAGTATATGGGTTGGGAACAGTTGGGTGTATATCCATGACTCTTTTATTTACTTCCCGGAGGTCCTGTACTGGTCAGTAGTCATTCGTGTGAGGCTTCCTGACTGGCAGGAGGGGGGTGTTCCAGGCAGATTGGCAGGGAACTAGTACCCCTAGGCTTCGCAGTCTCTGGATGTGAGGCTTGGATTCCCTTCCCGGCCTCCTGAGACATAGGATACTGCTTGACTCTTATTGGGCCTTCTTCTGGTTTTAGCTCTACCAGGGTTGGGGTCCTGTGAGTGGCTAGTCCTACACCCCCCGTCTCTGGCCAAGCTGTGGGGAATTCTTGTAGCCATCTGTCCATGTTGCTTTCTACTGGGGATGGCCCCTGGTGGAGGCGGTACTCATCCTCTAGTCTCAGGGTCAAAACCTGGATGGGGTGGCCTTTGCCATCAGTGACCTGAGGCCCCCCTTGTCTGAAAGTTATCTGGGCTCCAATCTTGGTTAGTAAGTCCCGTCCTAATAGTGGCATACCGGTAAGGGAATTCTGGAATCACCAAAAAGGAGTGGGATACCCAGCCCGTTCCTAGATCTACCGTTCTTCAGGTAGTCCATGAATACTGGCTCATACCAGTTGCCCCTTGTACCCAGGACTTCTTATTGGCTAGCTTCCCCTGAGGTGTGCGGAGGACCGAATGTTGTGCTCCAGTGTCGACAAGGAAGTCAACAGGGGTCCCCTCCACTCTAAGAGTTACCCTGGGCTTGGGGAAGGGGTCTGAACCCCGACTCCCCTAATCACTCAGCTCTTCCAGCTCTAAGATTTTCACTCAGTCAGTCTTGCTTCCCTTCCCGCCGGCCTTCTTTGGACCCAGTGCCCTATCTCTCTGCAGTAAGCACACTGATTCTTCTGCAGCCTTCTTCTCCCACCCTGGGCGGCCTCCTTAACTTCCTCCTGGTTATTGGCAAGTCGGCAAAGGCGGCAGTTCCATTCTTCAGGGGAGTCCACGGTGGTGGCTAGCAGAATCTTGACCAGGTTTCAGGTTTGCTTGTCACTGGCAGCCACCATGGCGCGAGCCTGTTTATCTTCAGGAGGCTCCCAGTTGTTATACACCTTCTCGGCTACCTCCAGCAAGTCCTGCAGACTTTTTTCTCCTAATATATCTACTTTCTGCAGCTTCTTTCTAATGTCTGCAGCTGATTGGTTCACAAAACTCATGATTACAGCTGCTTTACTCTCAGGAGCTTCTGGATCCATGGGGGTATAGGTGCGGTATGCCTCCATGATCTGTTCTAAAAAGGCAGCTGGAGACTCATCCCTTTCCTGCTGAACATTTCCTACCTTGGCAAAATTAGTGGGCTTCCTAGCAGCCATTCAGAGACCCCCCATTAGAGTCTGGTGGTAGACCCGGAGCCTCTCCTTACCTTCTGCCATGTTGAAATCCCATTCAGGCCTAGTTAAGGGAAAAGAGACATCTATCTGGGCCTGGTTGGTGGTTAGGTTCCCGTCCACGCCTGGAACCACTTTCCGGGCCTCATTGAGGATTCTTTCCCTCTCCTCAGTTGTGAACAGGACCTGTAAAAGCTGCTGGCAGTCGTCCCATGTAGGCTGGTGGGTGAAAAGTACAGAGTCTAACAAATCAATAAGTCCCACCGGCTTCTCAGAGAACTTAGGATTCTGAACCTTCCAGTTGTAAAGGTCACTAGTGGCGAGAGGCCAACAGTGATGGGGCTGATTGCCATCCGCATCTGGGGGGCCCACGGTTTGCAAAGGCAGAGTCTTAATAGTGGAGTCGGCGGCCAGGGCAGACTGCTCCATCTGAGCCCTTTGTCTAGTCAAGGGCGGGCTTCCCACTGGAACTCCTCCCCAAACCCCTCCCGGAACTCCTCCTCCAACCACTCTCGGGGCAGCGTCTGCTTCCCCTGATGGGGGAAGGTCGGGTCTCTCTGGCACCCTAGGGAGCTGATACAGGGGAGGAAAAATTAGTTCTTCTTCAGTTCCCCCCTGAAAGACAGGGTAGAGGGGAGCTGATGGCGGGGTGACTTTCTTCTCCTCCTTTTTCTTCTCCGTTTCCTGCAAGGCAAGAATAGGTCTTGGCTCGAGAGGGCACGGGGCTAGGAAGGGCTTAAGCCAAGAGGGTGGGTCCTCCACAAGGTCCTGCCAAATAGTAATGTAAGGGAGTTGATCAGGATGACTCCCCTTCGGCCAGGAGATGACATCCCTGACCCAGCGGATGGTAGGGAGATCGAGAGTTCCCTCTGGCAGCCATCCAATGTTGAAAGCTGGCCACTCGCTGGAACAGAAAATCTGCCACCGGCTCTTTTGTACCTCCACATTGAGGTTGTTAGCCCTTCCCTTAACCTCTTTGAAATGATCAATCATAATACTTAAAGGAGTAGTCTGAGTCTGTCCCATAATGTCTGTCCAGTAAGTCCACAGAATAAAACAGAAAAACACAGAAACAGACAAACAAAAATCCCCCCAAAACAGCCTTCCTACTCCGCAGAAACAAAACTGAAAGCTAGACGATGGCCATGCGCCAACCGGCGGGAGCGACCCACCTCGTCTCAGATCCTCGAGGGGAATCCACGTCCTTCATGAGGGGATTCCACGTCCCTCCTGAAGGAGGATCGGAATGTCTTCCAACTCCTCCCACCCGGGGTCCTCCAGTGCGTCCACCTAGACTGCTTCGGGCACGACCAGAATTTCAGAAATGAGCTCACACAGGACAGAACACACAACACACAGACACCTACCGTGGTCAGTCAGGCTCTCCAGGTTGGGGTCCCTCGTGGGTTTTGGGGATCCCGGACGAGCCCCCAAATGTTATGCCCAGATTTCAAGATCCCCAAAGACAGACCACTAGGGAGCCAAGTCCAATGCAAAAGCAAAGAGCCTTTATTCAAGCCGGGCTCGGTCCCTCTGCTCCACTGACACAACGGCAGCATGTGAAGAGAGACGAGCCCCCAGAGAACAAAGATTTTATAGGGCTAGTCATTTGGGTGGGCTTAGGTGGGTGACGTGGGTGACAGTGACTGGTCAGTTTCAGGTCAGGGTTTTATTCCAGGTTTTTCAGCAGGGTCTTACAGCAGGGACTTACAGCACAAAGGGCAGGAAATGACTAACGCATTCCTGGGCCTGAGCCATACCCCGCTACCTCCTGATTGGTCAAGGGTGGCGCACAAGGAGCATCCTATGGTATAGCCTAATTTGGACCTTAGCCGCGTTTTTGGAACGTCATTAGTCCACTCAGGTTGTGGTTGGGGAGTTGGGACATTTCTAGCATTCCTGTGGTTACTCCCAGTAGGGAGGTCAGGTTGGGGACCCAGCTTTACAAGATGGAGGATAGTCAGTCCCGCTTTGTCCTTTCAGTAATATTGTTGATCTGGCTAAAGACTGTTCATGTGTTTCATTTGAGAAAAATCACTGTTACACTTCAATAAGAAGATAAAACGAAGCTGAACGAAGAAATGATTCCTTCTCTTGGCCTCTCCCCTTGGCTACACTCTCAACTCCTTCCAGTTCCCAATGGTGAGGGGGAAAGAGAAGCACCCCTCACTGACTAGCATACGGACTGCAATGGGTCCGACTGCTGAAGGAGTAGGTCTACCAAATGTGAAATGAAGACTGCCTTCCTGCCTGGTGATCATTCACTTTCTCCCCTTGTCCCCTAGTGCCTAAATGTCCCCCTGCTCTCTGCCCCAAAGCCTTACTTGATAGTAAATGTTCCTCTCAGAGAACACTTAAATAAGTTTTGAACAAAAGGATGGAGTGTCCCAATAGTTAACACTTCAAGTTGCAGGATGGATGGGCAAGGAGTCATCTGAGCCTTTTTAACACCCCTGGAGGAATATAACATGCAACTGAAATGCAGGCCTGACTGGGTTTTGTGGGATGTTCCAATCTTGGCTCTGCCTTGGGCAAGTTTGTATCCCCTCTGTGCCTGTTTCCTCATCAAAATAAACTTAGCCCTATCCTTACTGCATACAGTTTTTATAAGGGTTAAATGAGCTCCATATAAAAGTTAGAAAAGTGACTGACATAAAATAGGTGCTTAATGTTAGCTGACTTTGTCCAAGGTTTGCTGTCCCCAAGGAAGCAGGGCCCGGGAGTTCAGTTACCCTGAAATGTCAGGGTAACTTGTAACTTCCCTTTTCTTGGACCCCTTGGGACACAATCTAATGTGCTGGGCGCCAGGACAGATACCACAAATTCCTTCATTATCATGTTAATTGTTCCTGCACCCACCTAACTATGGGACTATCATTTTACTTTTTATCCAATCCCAGGGGTTTCCCTGCTTTGCTTTCTCCCACCTCTCTAGTCTATCACCAATAGATTTCATGTAATTCCCCTGCATCCCTTTTCTTTGATTGCAATGTATACCGTAAATACAGATGTAACCCACCATTCTCCAGAGCATTATCTCAATTCATTAAGGTTCTGCTTCCCAGCATATGTCGACAGTTTGGCTCAAATAAACTCACAAAAATTCTTTACAGGCTTGAATGTTTTTTTACATTAACAAATTCCTGTTTCACAGTCACAATTTGAAAGACGTTCCCAAGCATGCTCAGTGGAACTATAGCCCTCTGAGTTCAGGTAATGTATTAGGATAGAATAATAACCTAGATAGTGTTATTAGAAATATAAATGCATTAGAATAATATTCTGTATTTGTTTTGAAGTGTTTTGAAATTGGGTAGAGAAAAACCCTGGACTTTAACTTGTAACCTCTTACTGCAAGAGCTGTGTGTATTCAACTTAGATAAGCAAGAGAGTGTATTCCCCCTCCTGCACAGAGTGCAGAGTGGAGTTGTTTACTGATAATGCCATAAGAAACCTATGTAAAACCGTATTTTGTTTACAAGAACCTGGACTGCCCTGGGTTGACAGACGAGCTATAAAAAGGGGTCGGAAGAGACATTCGGTGATCTCTCGCTTGATCGCTGGACACGTGTCTTCGCTGATCGCGTTGATTCCTGCGCCTGGCTGGTGGCTCAATCGCTGGAAGCTTGCCTTCGCTGATAGCCCCCAGTCCGGGTGCAGTCCTCCCGCTCCACACCTGAGGGCAGACGAACAGCCGAGCCTCTGATTCAATCCGCTTCCGAGGGACGCTCTCTCCCCCGGATGCCCGGATCTCGGTCAGGTACGCTGGCCCTCTCCTCACCCTGCTGGGACCGACACACCAGCCCACAGAGACGATGTCGCTCGGAGGAAGCCACCAGACCCTGGGATCCCTTTTAAGCTCGTACCCACGGCGCAAGGACCTTATATGTGAGTAAAATAAAGTGTGCTGTGTGATTTAGCAACTGCATAATAAATCTTGTGTGGCCTATTTCCTCCCGATAGCTCTTAATGATCCTAAGTGTTAAGCCTGCCCTCGGTCCTGCTGGCTTAGAGTATTCTCTTCACTAGCAACTACTTAACACAAGCGCCATGTCAATCACCGGTGACTGACACTATACTTTCCGTCCCGAAGACAAAATAGGCTGGGCGCTTAACGTGTTAAAATGTCCGAATGTCCGAATACCTACACGGTTAAGTTTATCTCAAGGGACGCCTTGGATAACACCCCTCCTTTCTTGGACAGGTAAGTTTGGGAAATACGATAAGTCGTCTCCTACCTGGGAGTACACAGTACAAATTCAAGGTTCTGAGATGTGTTACTGCAAAGAAGCCATTTCTCAACTTGATTACACATCTTTTTCCAAGCAGCACCTATTAACACCCTGCAGTGCTCTCTAGTCATTTATAATTTCCTCAGAGGCCAGCCTTGGAGCCACAGGGTGCTGTATCCTGATTTGATTAGATGTGTTTAAGAGTGAAGTGAAATTAATCTTAGGATGAATACAAGAGCCAAGAAAATAAGAGGAGAGGTTGGATTAGTTATTAGGAAGCTGCTATGTGCTTGGGGTAACACCTCTTATTTATATGATCCTATTGACTCTTCACAGCCAACAGCTTCCTCACTGGCTCCTAGTTCTCCTCCTGCCCCTCTCCCATGCTCTTGGCAGTGGCCATGATCTGTAATGACTCCACTTTCCTTGCTTAAAATGTCCAGTTCTACTTAACCTCATGGTATGCAACACTTTCCTCTCCTCACTGACTGCTGTCCATTCCTCTGAACACCAACACTGCCCCACCCCTCCTAAAACACCCATACATGCACCTATTGTAATGGGGTGACCCACGGAGACGACCTCCAGGACTCAGATCAAAATTTAGGAGCCTTTATTAAGCTGGCCAGCGACTACAGTTACAGCACCCTGCTGCAGCAGAGGCTGAACTGCAGCGCTAACTGCAGGAGTTACAGCGTTTTTATTTGCAAAAACCACAAAGTTACAAAACCTTAGTTCCCGACACAGTACAGCATCATTACAGTGACTACCTTCCTATCTATGTGTTCTAGGAACAGAGAGTACAGCATCCTGGGAAGGGGCCATGAGACCATATCTCAAGGCCTGGCCTGATGTCAGCACATTCCTATCTATGTGTTTTAGGAACAGAAAGCACAGAGCGCCCCGTCTGGCCGAAGCGCCAGATAATGCAGCCCAGCACACTACCTGGGCCTGCAGCACTGTGCCCTACAGTCAGCTCCACTTCATTACTCAGGTCTCAGCTCAAACACCATGAGGCCCTCTTTGACTACACTATCTAAAGAGGTAATCCTCACCCATTTTGTCTCACCACTCTTTCCCCCCCCCAGTACATTTTACCATCTGAAATATTTCATTTGGTTTTCTTGTCTGCTTTCTCCCATTAATATGCACATTCCATGATCAAGGATAACTAGACTGTCCTACTCTTAATCATACTGGTATATTCCCTGCAGCTACAAGTATCCGGTGCCTAGCAGATGCTGCGCTGGTTGATGAACCCTGTGAAGTGGATGGCACACTCATACTGCAGATGAAAAATTGGGTTCAAAACACCTCTTGTTATGTAACCTGACCAAGGCCACACAGCTGAGAAGTGATGGAAGGCTGCAATAGTGTAAGGCTTAAGGGAGTTTCTGGGTCTATGGAGACCAGGTACCATTTTAGTTGGCTAAGGCCTATTAGGCCACAAAATAGAAAGAACTAGGTTTTCTTTTTTTTGTTTGTTTTAAATATATTTTATTGATCTTTTACAGAGAGGAAGGGAGAGAGATAGTTAGAAACATCAATGAGAGAGAAACATCGATCAGCTGCCTCCTGCACATCTCCTACTGGGGATGTGCCCGCAACCCAGGTACATGCCCTTGACCGGAATCGAACCTGGGACCTCTCAGTCCGCAGGCCGACGCTCTATCCACTGAGCCAAACCGGTTTCGGCGAGGACTAGGTTTTCAAGGAGGCACTCCGCTTCTGTGGATGGTCTCCCTTTCAAGCCCTGTAGGAGCTAGTCCAGATTTATTAAAGATGATCATGGTC